GGAGAGAGAGAATGCAGTATATGTGCTGGAATGAGTTCTTAGCTTCATCTTATTAAGTTTTGGAGCAAATAACAAACAAGTTGAATAAGCTTGACTTTTTTTTCACTACTTTTACGATGTCAATCAGTTGGTAAGATGTTAAACTCCATGCACGATGCCATTTAAAGGAAGTTGGTTCCAGTTTAGTTAAGGCTGCAAAATCATATTTATTGAATTTTAGTCCCCAAATATGAATCATTATATCTGTTCCACTCTACTCAGACCCCCAACAAACTCATTACTATGTGGATTCATCATAAATTGATTATATTCTCCCGTGTTGTTAATCTACCACAACCCTTCTTTTATCCGGACTTGGAACCTGCTACACTCTGAGTATAGTTGTTAGATTGCACAGTTTTTTGTAAAACAAGATCTAGCTGCATTTAGTAAATAGAGAATTAATTCATTAGGATAATGAATTAAAGACTCATTTTTGTTCTTGTTGAGCTTGCTAATAACAGTACTTCAAAGAATTCCTTCTGTCTTTTTTCAGGTTTAAATGGTCTCTTAGAATCATGGTATATTATATTTCTGGAGTTTGGTTTATGTATTTTGACAAAAGGAGCTGAGTGTGTAGACATGCACAAGTTCCATTATATACATGCGATGTGTTAATGAGATATCTAACCTAAACAATAGCTTAATTGGCATAGAATCTCGGTTATGTGCTAATATGCTGAAACATGTAACTCTTCTTTACTAACTCCAAGAGGTTGGTCGTGTGGCACATTCCTTATGGATAATAGATGTTTTTTTTTTTTTTATGAGAATTTCAAATAATTTTTAAGTGGCTGAGAATTTATCAAGGTTAAGAAGTTGACTGCTGAACTTGCCTATGGAATATTTTTATGTGTTGGTCTGTGCACTTCTAACTGCTGCTTTAAATTGAGGTCAAACTGCAGTCTTTCTAAGGAGTCAGTTGTTGAACTGCTCATAAGGGAACATTTGTTATATGCACAATCAGTTTGACTTAATCATCTAGTTCATATAACATTTTTGGCTAATCTGTTAGATCTTATTGGGCTTATTCTCCTGGTTGAAAAGGTGTCTCAAGGCAGAAGATACTTGTCTTCCTGACTTGGTCAATGCTTTAGTTATTGCAAGGTGGTACAGTCGAGCTAATGTTCTCATATAGTAAACATGCTGTGTCCCATCCACAACACTACAAGGTAAGTGCTAAACATAATGGTTGACCTTCTCCTAACCTTGCTTACCCTGGCTACTTCATAATGTTAGTTAAGGAATATTACTTTCTCTCAAATTTTTTTCTGGTTGTATTGGGTCGGGGAGGGTGGGGCCATGGTTGAAGGGGCGTTTCACTTGCAGAGGTGCCAGTTGATACCTCAAGTGGTGATTCCAGATATCTGTTTGGTAGTCATCCTTGTTTTTTCTTTATTTTCTATGTGATCTTATCATCCTCCCAATTTGATGATTATCTCATCTACCAAATTACTCTAGGACATCTGCACTTTGGATATTTCTCTAAGCTAAAGTTATACATTTGCACTTTAGCAAAATCATGTATTTCAAAACGAGAATCTGCTCAAGCATGAATGCTTAAGATTGCTCAGTTTTAATGAATTACACCCAGATATCTGTACTTTATGAATAATTTTTGGCATTTCTCTATCTTCTCTGTTATGTGAATGAAAGAGAGACAACAAAAAGTTGAAGGTGTTCAGAATTCCATTATTGCCATTTGAGGTGTTGAGTTCCGGTTAGACCTTTCTTGAGTTGCTATCTTTTGAAAGGTGTTTACAGCAGGCCAAACCGGGCATGTGGAAGCATGATGAGGGGTTTTAGATAGTGGTGTTGCCTTTTTTTACTTTAAAACCTGAGAATGCCTTGATCCACTATGTTGAGGTCAGATGCAAATTGTACAAGGAAAATAAGAAGGAAAATGAACTTGACTTATTATCTTGATAAGCGAATCATTGAGCATAATGAGTTGAGCGAAGGAGTCATTTGGGTGGTGCCTCAGGATGTGAGAAGCTTACGAGTTTGGCCCATTATGCATCTTGTGGACCATATGATTGGAATAAAACAATAGATGCTTTGAAGGAAAGAGACAACCTACCTCTTTTGTAGAAAATAGATGTCAGCAGGTTATTTATACTTGGGAGCAATATGCTGGATAGTCCATCTTTTCTTTTGAATTTGTTGGAGGATATGATGCTGTAACTGTTATGATGCGCTTGATCCTCTCTTTTGTACTTCTATAGTAACCTTCTTTGTAATTCATATTATAAATACTTTATTTTACCACACAAAAAAAGAGTTGAGGTAAGGACTTTGCAATCTTATTACTTTGCTCCGCAACCAATACATGCCTTTTCTCTTTTTCCTTTTGTCGAGGCATGGATCGTTCAAGCTTGTAAACAAGCCATTAAAACTCGGTATGCATCAGTCTTGTTATCTTTGCAGCACCCTGAGACAATGAACTATCTCATAGAAACCAATTTATTTTCCTTTATGCAGTTAATTTCACTGCCTGGGAGTTGGGGACATGACAATGGCACTGAGATCTTCTAGGAGGGATGATTGCAGCAAGTATGTAGGGATGATTGCCTGGGAAGTGTTTGTTATGTTGTATGTAGGGTATATATTTCATCCGCAATGAAGATACAAAATGTTTATAGGGAAGTGATGATGTGTTGAAAGGGGTTTAGCCCCTCTTGCACCCGGGCATCACCCTCAATTCTGTGTTTCTGTGTATAACTTGCATCTTGAATTCAAAGTATAATTACCCAGAGAATATGCCTTTTCAGTCTATGCGTTAATCCTTGTGTTTGTGTTTGTAATCGTGGTTGCACTTTCTTGTCGTTTTACTTATGGCTTTCAGAGAGCTCATCAAAAGTTAGCTGTGTTTGAATTTGTACTTTCAGTCTATACAATGTGTTAATTCTTGTGTTTGTGTAGTCTAATATATGTTTAAAAAGAACAGCCGAAACTCCTATGTTGATAAGAACTACAACGGTCGACTGAAATTTGTTCATAAGCGCGTGCACATTACCTTCTCAGATACCCAAAAGATTAACATCATCCACAACTTGTAGCCCGATGTCATGATCTTGTTCAATCAAATTTCGTAGCTTCTACATGGTCGGAGCTGTAACAAGTAACAGCTCTAACTAGGATAGAGCGGAAATACTGTTGAACCAGAACATGCATAAAATAAGCAACCAAAGTAGCTTCATCTATCCAAATCGGTCCATCCAAACAAATAGAGGTCCACATTCAGAAGATATGAATAAAAACTTCATATCGTTCTCACAAACCAGAAAGAAAATAGAACAAGAACAGAGTTCAAAAAGCCTACATATTCTGGAACAGAGAGTCCTCAGAAGCCCATCAATGGTGGAAAAAAATGGGACACCAGTACATAGGAAAAAAGAAAAATCATAACCGCATCCACAAATGCTGTCCGAGAAGGTTGATTACTCTCTTAATCAAAGGTCTCATCATCATCATCTGGGAGGGGTTGACTGGCAGCAGCAGCAAGCTCAGCCTCATGTCTGCAACAACACATCAAAGTTACAAAAACATATGGAAGAAATGACAATCAAAATCTAAACAAATTACTGGAAGAGAAGAGGTAAATTGGTGAAGAACTTACTGTTGTTGTGCAGCCAAGTCGATCTGTACTTCAGGAGGAGCAAGGGCAGGAGACTCCACAAAGTGCAAGTTAGGATCCCTATAACAGGGAAATCATATTGAAAACATCATCAGAATATGATTCTAGTACGTTTCTTCTGCAGAATGGCAAAATTTAGCTAATAGTCAAATGAAGAAAGTAAGTACCCGGCAAGTTTCCTGGCAAGGTAAAGGAAAGGCTTCTCAAAGTTGTAGTTACTCTTTGCTGATATCTCATAGTATTGCAAATTCTTCTTCCGGTGGAAAGTAACCTGCTTAGCCTTAACTTGACGGTTCTTCACATCAACCTTGTTTCCGCAAAGAACAATGGGAATATTTTCACAGACACTAATTCAACAAATGTAAATATCTCAGTTTGAAAACAAAAACAAGTTTTAAAAAACAAACCAAAGAATAAAATCAATTCAAAAAGGATGCGGAGACATACCGGCAAAGATCCCTATGCCATGTGGGGACATTCTTGTATGTCAATCGGGCTGTCACATCAAACATGATGATAGCACATTGACCATGAATACTGCAGACAAGACAGTAGCAAGTCAAGATGGAATATACACAGCATATGACTCTTTTTTAGATAACACTTGAAAATTCATAAAGATTCCATAATGCTATTGTAAAAGGAACACTGAACAACCTTCTGCTATGCTCATTTTATAAAACCAGTAGACGCTTACAGCTGATAAAAGAGATGCATATAATCATACCGCAATCCACACAACATTCCACATTGGGTTAAATCAGCATGTAATACATCTCACCTTTAATCTTGGAGAAAGGTATACTATTTATCAATCATCAGCACAAAAAGAAAAATGGGAACCTAAGAAATACCCTAACAAGTTACTTTAGGTCCATTTTTTCCTCATAAAGTTTATATAGGTTCATTCACTTAGCATATAATTAGAAGTTGGAATTAAACCACAAAGAAACAGGTTATATTGGAGCAGTACATATCACCTCACATAAAACAACAATGTAATAAGGTTTTTTTAAGTATTACATACAGCATCACTGCAAATCATAGCTAGACCAATGGCAACGACTACAAAGTGAAATTAAAATGGAATGATTACTTACTAGTATCCATCCCTAAGGCCACCAAATTTCTCCTGACCAGCTGTATCCCAGCAGTAAAACCTAATCTTCCCACAGTTTGTGAAGAAATCCAATGGATGCACCTCCACTCCAATGGTGGCTGTTCCAAAATACAAAATTAAAATCAGTCTTACAAAGAAAAAAAGTCTAGAAATAACAACCAATCTATGCTTCATACTGGCAACACTTACGTTCATATTTCTTTTCAAATTCACCAGTAAGATGCCTCTTCACAAATGTAGTTTTTCCTATACAAAAAGAAAACTTCCAAATCAGATAAGTAATTAAAAAACAAGAGAAAGAACAAAACAGTCTAATCCACAAAACCATCACTCCTTTTTCAACCTAACACAAAAACTAGTTAGAACAGCAGCTCAATAGATCTAAGACTTTCACAAACCATACTGATTTAGAACCGCATATAAACACACTCTCATTAGAGAATTCACTTATACCGAAATCAAACAAATCATTCTAATCACAGCCTAAAATCACTTCAGAATAATCAAGACACAGGACTTGCTCCTCAAAGAAAGAGAGTAAAATTACCAGTTCCACCATCGCCAACAATAACAAGTTTAAAACTGGGATAATCCACGGCTTGCTGACCTGGAAGAGCCTACACCCAAAAACGATACGCATAAATCACAGGTCATTCAGATACATCAAAAATAACCACAAAACCCCCCACAAAGCGACAAAAGAAAAAGCTAAAAGCATAACACTACAAAAATAGCCAACAAAACAAAATTTTTGAGCATCAAAGATAGCGTACTAACCATGTTGTTTTGAGGAGAATGCTGCGAGGGTTTTGAGAGGAATGAGGAGGATTAAGGAGGAGGGATATATATAGTTGGGAGCAAAAGGGTTTTGTAATCAGTGTTTCCGTTCACATCATAGCTTTGCCCTGACGCGATTCTCTGGACCGTTGGATCAGTCTGTTTCTCGATTCGGCGCTGCCGCACGTGACTCTCACGTTCTTCTCCAAATTTGAATTTCAAACTACATGAGCTTTGTTTTTTTTTCTCTTCCAACCGTAAGCTTGGTTGGATAGTTAAATCCCATAATGTGATTATTTAAATAGCGGATTTTTTTTAATTAAGTAACAATTAAATAGTATTTGATAAAAATAATCATTTAGTTAAAGTTATATATATAAATGTATTTAATAATTACTACTACTATTTTTTGTACATGCAACAAAATTTCTGACTCAAAAACAGGTTAATTAGACATCTAAAATATATAATTTACTTAGGAGAATGTATAAAAGTTCTAAACACCAAGTATCATACTTTGTCGCATTTTGTTTGAATTAAGATAATACTCCAGAAATTTTTTATTTTTGTTGTTGAATAAATTCTCACTAAGTGACATTAGTGTGAAGAGAATTAGACTAGCACCGTTCTAGTGTTAACCTTAAGAAGTAATTAATCAAATTGGTTAGTGGCATATTCTTAGTGATATAGCATAAGAGTATGTCCCCACAATGTCCCCACCATTCATTTGCACACAAAAAAATCCAACAATAAATAACATACTCAGTATAATTTTATAGGTGGGATTTGAGAAAAATAATGTATGCGCAGACCTTACTCCTATCATATGGAGATAAAAAGACTGTTTCCAAAAACCCTCGACTCAAGGACACAACAAAAAAATAGTAGATTGGAAAAAAGAATAAGAATTTCTTGTTATTTCACTGCATATTGAAAAAATATGGAATGTATTCTATTAATCACTATCTATTAAAAAAGAATACCATAAAAAAACATGCCTTCCAAAAATATAGATGATAAATAAATAAAGGTTTTTTGAGGGTAGTGCCTTGCAGTCATTAGAGCACAATATAGTGTTTCAGTCTCTAAAGAGCTTAGCAATACCATGCATATTTTCTCGGAATATTGCATCCAGTGTTATTAAACTGTATTATTGTAATAAATACTAAAAACACTAAACTTTCCGAAATAGAAACAGAAACAGAAAGTTAGTAGAAACAGTATGTCAAAATAATATATGAAATTAATTTCAGAATAAATCGAGCCCACTGAATACACAATGTGTCCTTAAGGAAATTATTCCCCTCAAGTACCCGAGGTGTTCGAATATATCCTCTCAGGATAGAACAATTTAACTCACCAGAATGTAGGTACCAAAAACGCCGATAAACATCGAACGACTCGAAGGCTGTAAAACACACTTGAAATTTTTGTGCAGAAGAAGAAGATCAGAAAATTTCGGTAGGAAAGATTCCGGGATTCAAAGTATATTTATAGACTTTCTGGCACTGTTTTTGAAAAGGTTTGCAGCCTTTTAGAAACAACCATGGCTGTTGGGAATGTTTCTGTTTGAAATATTGCGGGAAAATGAATTTAAAATAATTTGGGAAAGAAAACAGATCAGAACGGGTTGCGTCGCGGGTCCTAGGTTATTCTGGATTGAATTTTCGTTAATTAATTAAATAATTGAAAGGAATTTTATCCAAAAAGATTAATCAATCAATCTTTGACCGAATCCGAAGCCAAATCCGAAGCCGAGCGAGCGAGCGAGCACGCGACGACGGCGCGAGACTTGCTTTCTTCTAAACTCTTTAAGAGCTAAAAGAAGAGCAATTGTATATGTAACAGCCCGACCCACTAGTGATATCGTCCGCTCCGGGCTAGGCCCTTACGGGTTTAAAACGCGTCACTAGAACCTAAGGCTTGTTAACTTATATACCCAGCATCTCTCTTGTGTTTTGACAATGTGGTCTATAGTCTAGGATGTTACATACACCTCCTCTTACGGATTCAGTGTCCTCGCTGAGGTTTGCCCCATTGCATGAGATTCGCCTAGACTCAGCAGTGAGGTTTGCCCCGCCTAATCGGAATTTGCCTAAACTCAGTTGAACTTTAACCCACTATTGGCAAGGCTAACACAAGAATGGCTCTGATACCCTCCGTAACAGCCTAGCCCACTAGTATTGTCCGCTCTGAGCCTAGGCTCTCACGAGTTTAAAATGCATCACTAGGGTCTAAGGCTTGTTAAC